ACAAGGCAAGGTTAGTGGTCCAAGGCTATAGCCAAGAGGAGGGCATAAATTATGATGAGACCTTTGCTCCAGTAGCAAGACTGGAGGCAATAAGACTCCTCATAGCCTTTGCAGCACACATGGAATTTACCCTTCACCAAATGGATGTGAAGAGTGCCTTCCTCAATGGCTACCTAAAGGAAGAAGTCTTTGTCAAACAACCTCTAGGGTTTGAAAGTAAGGAGTGTCCAGATCATGTATACAAATTGGACAAAGCCTTATATGGACTCAAGTAGGCTCCTAGAGCATGGTATGAACGTCTATCCAAATTCCTGCTTGAACATGGCTACAAAAGAGGTAAGATTGACAGTACTCTATTCTTGAGGGAAAAAGGTGAGGATCTACTAGTAGTACAAATTTATGTTGATGACATAATTTTTGGGGCAACCACTGAAAAACTGAGTAAGGATTTTGCAAAATTAATGGGGAGTGAATTTGAAATGAGTATGATGGGTGAGTTTAATTTTTTCTTAGGTTTACAGATCAAACAAAACCCTAATGGAACCATGATCCATCAGCAGAAATATGCAAAGGAGTTAATTACGAAGTTTAAAATGGATGAATCAAAAGAAATAGATACACCCATTGCAACTGCCACTAAATTAGACATAGATGAACCTGGTTCATCTGTTGATCAAAAGTTGTATAAGGGTATGATTGACTCACTTTTGTATCTTACTGCTAGCAGACCTGACATAGTTTTCAGTGTAGGGCTTTGTGATCGTTTTCAAGCCAATCCTAAGGAATCCCACTTGACTGCTGTCAAGAGGATACTGAGATATTTGAAAGGCACTACTAATCTTTGTCTTTGGTACCTTGAAGGTAGTAACTTTAATCGAGTAGGATATGCTGATGCTGACTATGCAGGTTTCCTTGTGGATAGGAAAAGCACCTCAGGTATGACTCATTTTCTTGGCTCATGTCTGGTATCATGGGCCACTAAAAAGCAGAATTCAGTGGCCTTATCCACTGCTGAGGCTGAGTATGTTGCTGCTGCCTCTTGTTGTGCCCAACTACTGTGGATCAAGCAGCAGCTAATGGATTTTGGCATTGAGATTGGTTGCATCCCTATTTTCTGTGATAACACTAGTACTATAAGTATGACAAAGAACCCAGTTCATCATAAGAGGACTAAGCACATAGATGTTAGACATCATTTCTTAAGGGACAACTATAAGAAAGGATTGATTACTATAGAATTTTGTGCTACTGAAAACAAATTGCTGACATCTTTACTAAAGCACTAAGTAGAGAAAGCTTTGAGAGGAACATGTTAGAATTAGGGATGATTAAGATCACCTAATGGGACCAATTCAGAATGCACAGTGAAAAAAAAAATTTTCTTGGCTAAGAAATCTAGAACTTTTGTAAATATCTAGATTAATTTTTATTCATCTTCATACTGTAAATAGTATACTCCAGTGACATGTGTTGATATGACTCACTGATCTCTAACAAATTTTTTTCTCTATTTTGGTAAATTGAGGCATGATCAAGGGAATTCTAAATGAAGAACCTGGTTCATCAGTATTGGTTCATCTGTGTGACAAGGTATGTTTTCTATATTCTGCACAATTAGAAATATAAATATTTAAATCACGAGCAGAATCCTAACAATGTTCAACACATCAAAAAATTCTATCCAGTTGTTTTTTTGAACCAGTTCCGTCCTCATTAGAATTCTAACCACAAAAAATGCCTAAAATCTAGGGAAGCCTAACCGTTCGTTCAACCTGCAATTTCAGGTTGATTAGACCTCTAGTTGACTGCTAAAGCTACCGTTATCCATCAAATGAGTCTTTCCCTTTAAATACTCATTATTAATTCCTGCCACCCTCATAATTCAAAACCGTCAAAAACCTTCTTCACTGTAAATTGCTTTCTTCTTCAAAAGTTTAACTCACCAACTCTCTCAAGCAATCAGCTATAATGACGAACCCACAAGATAACCCCGTAACTCCTCCACAACCTACTCCCTCTGATTCATCCACCCCTCCTCCACCTAGCACGACCCCTCAACCCGGAGAAGGCGAGTGAAAATGCTTGCTCGCAAAACGGTGGCATCTGGTGCTCTGTCAAAGAAATTGAACGAGAAATTAAAGGCGAGTCAAGCCCAAGATTCTGACTCTAATTCTGATTCGTTCAAATCTGCAAGTGAGGGGGAAGAAACTGGGTCTTCTGACTCTGAGAAGGCTAAAAAATTCCCTTCTGAGGTAAGCTCTTCCTTGGCTGAAAATTTAGAAAATAGGTTTGTTTTGGTTGGGCCTATCAGGGATGTGGAAATGCCTGAATTGGGAAGGAGTGGAGGTAAAAAGAAAATTGCAAAAGGAAAAGAGAGAGAGGGTGATATGGTGATGTGAGGGGAAAAGGGAAAGGAGTGGCTGATTCCTAACCCACTTCTGAATTGCCTGTACTAGCTATTTGTGGGGTTACACAGGAAACTGTGGAAGAAAGTGGCAAGAAGTCAGGGGGAAGTGGTTCAGGGGAGGCTGCTGAGGGGTTAGTTAATCTAAGTTCACAGGGAGATGAACCTGGTTCATCAATTGAAGAGACCCTAGCAGACCTTCTAAAAAAGGGTAGGTGCAAGTTATGATCCAAAGAAGAGGAGAACTCCAACACCAAAAGCCCCCAGCACTGCAAAACCTTCCAAGAAACGAAAGGCCTCCTCCCCAAAAACTGCTGAAATTCCTTTGCCAAAGGGAAGAGCCACAAGGAGTAGAGTGAAATAGGTTGAGAGTGAATTTCAAAAAGCTTTTGCAGACAGCAAGAAAAAGAGGATGGACAAAGGAAAGGCTAAGGTTGCAGAATCCTCTGAAGCTGTATACGTTGAGGAGATGGAACAGGTCCATCAGGAGAAAGTTACAACAATGGAGGTTCAGACCCCCAAACCCAAAAAGACCAAGACTTCTTCCAAGAAGTCTTCATCTGTGTCTAAGGCTGCTGAACCTGCATTGGCCAAGAGGACAAGGTCTGCAATGAAAAACAAACAAGTTACAATCTTTGAAGATGAGGACTGGAGTGGTGAAGAAGAGAGTGAGTCTGAAGGTGAACAAGACAAGTTGGCCATGTTTGGCAAAAGAAAATTTTTGAAGGGACGATTGCTGAAAGATTTGGTGGAACCAGGAATGATTCGTTTGGTTAACACCCTAGCTGCTCAGGGTTGGAAAGACATGGTCCTTCAGATGGATGAGAGATTGGCCAGAAATGAAATCATTGAATTCATGGCAAATGCTGAGGTCAAAGATGACAGAGTTACAAGCAAAGTCAAAGGAGTTCAAGTGACCTTTGATGCAGAGACGCTGGGAGAGATTCTTGACATACCTGCTGAGGGATATGATGACTACACTAGGCAAAGATAGCCAAGTCTGGACTCCCTTCCTTCTGCCCTTGCAATCGCTAGGAGATTCTGTAATGTTGAAGAAGTGAATGATGCCAAGTTTGTGCACAAGAGTGAGATGAAGCCACAACACAAAGTCATTTTTGAGTTTGTCAACAAGTGCCTACTACCCAGGCAGGAGAGAAGGCATATTGCTAACTATATGGACTTAGTTCTAATGGAGTGCCTTGAAAGTGGAAGGCAAATTAACTGGCTTGCATTCATCATCAAGCTACTGGACAGGGTTATCAATGGCTCCAAGGCTCATGCCACCCCCTATGGATTTATTCTGACTACGATTCTGGATAGGTGAAATGTGCCTCTGAAGAAGTGGGAAATGGCCAGAAGCAAGGATTACTTTGGCATTAATACTCTGCTTGATTGTGACTATTTAGTCAATGCCATTCCAAATGAACCTGGTTCATCCAAGAAGACACCTATCAACAGTAAAGTCAGGGCTCTTGTTCAGGAAAGTGAGGCCAAGGATGCTGAGATAGCTAGGCTAAAGGCTCGTTTGGAAGAGGTTGAATCTGAGAGGGATGCTCTCAGAACTGAGCTTACCAAGGAAAAGGAGAAGAATGATGGGATTCTTCACAATATGCTGAATCTTCTCCAAGCCCAAAACCAACCCTCTAGCTCCCCCAAGCCATAGGAATTCTAGCCTTTGTCTCCTGAACCTGTCTAGTACCTTCAGTGACCTAGATTAGGAATTTTTCTTTCTTTTTGCTCATGTTTTGAATATTTTTGCTTTCTGGTTGTGGAAGCAACATATCCTCTATCAATGATATCTACCGTTTTTGCTCTTGTTGACTGCTAATATTTCCTTGATAGTTTAAATATGTTTGCCTGATTACTGATGATTGATCCATGATTGCACTTGCAATTGCCCCAGTGGCCATGAGCACTTATTAAAATCTGGAACTTGATCTGGGACTAAAAAATCCGAACTACCCCGACCTATATACACCCCTACCGAGATAATTTTTGTTTAGACAGTTTAGCCCAAATAATTTGAGTTCAGAAACCTGCAATCTTTCACATGGGACAAGTGACTGTTTCATATGTCCATTCTATTATGGAAGGTTTGCCAATATTATATTGAAATAAACCTAGTAATACCATATGTATGCAAGGAAGTCCACTTGTACCTAAAGGTACAACATACATACTTATGTACATCAGTACATGCACACACAACGTACAATGGCAGTGTGAGAATTTCTTATATATTCAATGTAATATAACCTGTTATAGCATGCTATCCGTTTACTATTTATTCTAGTTTACCCAATTAATGTTATACTCTAGATTTGCATGTAATTACTTTTTAACTGATTTAATTATGCAAATATTTTTTAACCGTCATCACATAAAAGTTAAAACTCTATACACAGAGATATAATTCAGTAGATTATCCATGTAGACAATACTCTTAAGCCAAATGTGTGAACCTCCACCACGGAAGCAACATCAAGTATCTCAATAAATCCCATTTCCATCTTCCACATGGCCCAATCGCATAACAGAAGCTAGAGTCCTTAGCCAATAACATTTAACATTCAGATTCCCCTATATCTCCTCTTCTTCCCTTATACTAGCCATCACCCTGCTCCTCTATTCCCCCATATTCTCATTTTTCTTTTCTTCTTTTAACATTCTTTAAGTCAAATAGTAGCTTAATTCAATGGCTTCCAATGCATTGATGAGCTGCGGAATTGCAGCAGTTTCCCCCTCTGTCCTCTCTTCTTCCAAGTCTAAATTTGCCGCTGCAGTGCCGGTGTGTGTAGGAGCAGCCAATGGCAACTCCCGGTTCAGCATGTCTGCCGAGTGGATGCCGGGCCAGCCCCGCCCTCCTTACCTTGACGGTTCTGCCCCCGGGTAATAATTTACTCCCTCCTATCCATTTTCGTATACTGTATACACATTTTATACATAATTAGTGTATATTTTTTTGTATATATATTCGGCTAGGGGCTGTAACTATTTTTGGCTGAATTAATTGTATAATGGATGGGTGATTGTGAATACAGAGATTTTGGATTCGATCCACTTGGTCTAGGAGAAGTACCAGCGAACTTGGAGAGATACAAGGAGTCTGAACTCATTCACTGCAGATGGGCTATGCTTGCTGTGGTAAGCTAAGCTCCTATTTACTTTTTTATTTAAGTACAAATTTTGTTTCAAAATATGAGACTTTTAAGAATATAATTAGTACAAATAATCTTAGCCAAGCCATAGAGACTCTTCTTATTAAAGAAATGGGAGTGATTTTATTGTGTGATTTTATTGTGTGCCTCACATAATTGACATTAGTTGACATTAGTTGTGTGATGCCCTTTTTATCTCACACATTTGTGGACCTATATCTTACACATTTGGGTCCACAAAATTCTGGGACCACAAAGTTGTGACACAAAAAAGAAGCCTCACACAACTAGCGTTAGTTGTGTGAGGCACAAAATAAAATTGTTCGGGAAATGGGAAAGGACATGGCACAAAGTTTAAGAAAAAATGAAGACTTTAAGAATTTGTGATTCTAAACAAGTCAAAAAGGGTCAAGAGTATTTGTGTGGTTATAAAAGCTTCTCATTAAGGGTAGAATTAGAAATCTGAGGGAATAAGAGATAATTGGAACGGACTAAAAAGGAAATAGGTTCACATAAACTGAAACGGAGGGAGTAAGAGATAATTAATTTGATTTTCAAGGAATTATTAAATTAATCTTTGATGATGAATCGACATTAATCTAGTCAACTCCCTAAGGTCATTAACATAGTAATCAGTTCTCGAATTGAGCTTAGTATTACTCATTTTTTTCCAGAGCAAATCTTTTTTATTGTGATTGAGTTATAGTGAAATAATATAATCACTAACTAGAAATATTCCAAGTTCAACATTTGAAATGTTTGGGAAGAATCCGTTAATGTTAAGTGAATTTCTAACATACATGTTATTGTCTTTGCAGCCTGGAATTCTAGTACCAGAAGCATTGGGCCTGGGCAACTGGGTAAAGGCCCAAGAATGGGCTGCCATTCCCGGAGGGCAAGCTACATATTTGGGTCAACCCGTCCCATGGGGTACTCTTCCCACTATTTTGGCCATTGAATTCTTAGCCATTGCTTTTGTAGAGCACCAAAGAAGTATGGAGAAGGATCCTGAGAAGAAGAAATACCCTGGTGGTGCTTTTGACCCATTGGGTTACTCTAAGGACCCAAAAAAGTTTGAAGAACTCAAAGTCAAGGAAATAAAAAATGGTGAGAACATTACCCTTCTTAAGTTCTTTAAAAATAATATTTTAATGAGCGTAAAATAAATTATTGAATTAAAATTTTTGGTTGAGAAAAACAAATGATAAGTTTCAAAGGGCTTTATGATCGAATAAATAAATGGTCGATGAGATTGAAGAAATGATAGTTAACGTTCTTTTATTTGGTGTTGGTGTTGAGTAGGTCGCCTTGCCTTGTTGGCTTTCGTCGGGTTCTGTGTACAACAATCAGCATACCCTGGAACAGGACCATTGGAGAACTTAGCAACTCACTTGGCTGATCCATGGCACAACAACATTGGAGATATCATTATCCCTAGAGGCATTTTGCCATGAAATCAATCTACAATCCCAAAATAGACCCCCGTTGTAAAACTCCCCATGTAACAAATTTGTAATGAAATGGACGTTTACGTATGCTCGGACCTTCTACCTAGAAAGTTACTATCTCTCCTTCCATGCTACTACCTAACAATTGTATGTTATGACACAAACTCTAGTTAGGAGCAAATGATTTTGAAGGTTGTTGCATTGGTTAAACTCAAGTTCAGGTCGCTTTCTACTGGATAATAAAGTGATTTCATAACAAGAAAAGAGGAGTTTAAGAATTTGGTTGTGACAAAAACTAATAGTACAAGGATCTATGAAATTTTTCCAAATAATTTAAGAATTTTGATTGTGATAATTATAGAATGCTACGGTCTAATGGATTTTTTTCTTCATTTTTTAATGTTTTCGGTCTTATTTATCCGATTAAGAGTTGAAAGTCTTAAAAATCTCCATTGATAAACTTTTACATTATCGAATATTTTGGATGATTTTAATTAAACTCTTGTTCTAATCTTTCTATCTAACATTTCGATCTGGAAATAAGCATTGACCTCTGGTATTCTCGAGTACTTTATACGACTCTTTTAATTTTTTCCAAATCTGTATCATCTTCAAGTGATCCTGTTCTCTTAGCCATTAATGTATTTTCTTATAAATTTCAGGAGAATTTATCTGCCACGAGTCTCTTTAGTTTAGTAATTTCTTTCTGTTGTTGTGTTTGCTTGTCGCTGGTTTGTTCACTCTTCATATGATAAAAATTGACTAGAATAAGTCCTTAGTCTTAGTTTTTGTCATCTACACATATCAATCACATAAACATGAAAAACCCACCTTAAAGAACAATAAGTAATGAGGAGATCTATGAAAGCATCTATCTACTGATTAAAACATTGATGGAAATATCTAACCTTCGTTTAATAAAAGAATTTGCTAGCTACTACAGGAAAAATAGCAAGGTGATTATGTATATTAACTCTCTTTCAATTGACAGGTTTACATGAATCATGGAAATAAACTTTTTTGTGATCCTTTGAGAATGGGCGGGCTGTGTTCATATACACAAACTTTTGCATCTCCAAATGGTATGGGCTTACATAAGATTTAATTAGCCTTGAACCATAGGCTTGTTGGCATGTTTTTGCGCATGCAAGTGGATTACATGTAATAATAATCTGAGTACCTTCAACAAAATTTCCTCCATTGGCCAAGATCATCAATAACACCAAAGAAAAGACTCTCCTTAGATTAATTTTCATTTTTCAACTTCTTTTTTTGTATCAAGATATTTCTACAATATTGGAGAAAAGTTTTAGTATTCTCTATATGAAAAATTAATTCGGTATTTATATAGACATTGTAACGACCCGATCGGTCATTTTGAGCTCTAGCGTGTCGTTCGGCGGTTTGAGGCCATGAGCAGCTTTACTTCAAGTATTATGACTTGTACGCGTGGTAGGGATTGAATTTCGGGAAGTTCGGAGTTGAATTGGAAAGAAAATTCTCATTTCGAAAGCTTTAAGTTGGAAGAATTGACTAAGATTGGATTTTAGAGTAAACGGCCTCGGAATCGGGATATGAAGGTTCCAGCAGGTTCGTATGATGATCTCGGACTTGGGCGTATGTTCGGATCGGGATTTGGATGACCCCAGAGCGTTTCGGCGCCTACTATGGAAGTTAGCATTTTGGAAGAATTTCATAAATTTGGGTTGAAGTGCATTTCAATGTTATTGATGTCCTTTTAGAAATTCGAGTCTGAGAATAACTCCATATGGTGATTCCGGTATTGCGAGCGCGTCCGGAAGTGGATTTGGAGGTCCATAGGTCATTTTGGAATCGTTTGGCGAAAGTTAGAAATTTGAAAATTTTTGAGAAGTTTGACCGGGAGTGGACTTTTTGATATCGGGGTCGAAATCTAATTCCGGAAGTTGGAGTAGGTCCGTAATGTCAAATGTGACTTGTGTGCAAAATTTGAGGTGAATCGGGCGCGATTCAATAGGTTTCAGCATCGAATGAGGAAGTTTGAAGTTCTAAAGTTCGTAAAGCTTGAATTGGAGTGCGATTCATGATTTTAGCGTTGTTTGATGTGAATTGAGGCCTCGAGCAGGTCCGCATTATGTTTAACTGGTTGGTGCGATTGGACGGGGTCCCGGGAGCCTCGGATAGATTCCTGGTGGTTAGCAGATCGAAAATAAAATTTGAGGAAGGGCTGAGGCAGCTGGGCATCCGGTGTAATCGCACCTGCGTGAAGAGGGCCGTATGTGCAAGCCCGCATGTGCGGGAAAGGACTCGCAGAAGCGGTCGAGTTCCGTAGAAGCGGGACCGCACCTGCTGATAACTAGGGATTCTAGTCTATTTTATGCTCCTTTTTTCTTGAGTTTTGGACTAAAATGTGTACAAGTATTCCCAAAAGCTAACTTGTTGTGCTTGTTTGGTAAAAAAGAGACAAGGATGTCATAACCAGCTCAAAAAAGGAGTGAAACATGCACAAGTTTAAAACCAAGTCAAAGCAGCGCCACATCAGAAAATCCACCGCGGACGCAGAAGACCCACCGCGACCGCGGTCCTTTTATCGTGGTCCGTAGTGGCAAGGTTCAAAGAGATGATTTTCTGGGAATGAAAGCTACCGCGGTCCGCGGTGATTTTATGCGACGCGGTACCTCTACTGCGATAGTGGTCCTTTTACCGCGGTCCGCGGAGAAGAGATTCAGAGAGCCTGGTCTGAGCTAAAGCTGAAGACCGCGGTCCGCGGTTGATTTACCGCGGCTGCGGTAGCCTCACCGCTGTAGCGATCCATTTTCCGCTGTCAGCGGTACCTCCGTCAGGGGTATTTTTGTTCGGAAAATTTGGCTGTGTATAAATACTACTTTTTTAGATTTTTAGGTCATCTTATCTGTAGCTGAGCACGTGAACTCCATATTTTACCTATTTTGAGTAATTTTGTAGCTTGTTTAGCAATTAACCTTAGAATCTTAACTTGTAATTACATTTTATGGGTTATTCTTCATCACAATCTATGATTTCTTCTTCAATTATGAGTAGCTAAACCCATTAGCAAGTGTTGTGGCTCAACCCTAGTGTGGGTATTTAATGAGTCTCTTATTTTAGGGCTTAGATGTTTATGGGTGAATGATATTTGGCCTGTTTTGTGCTTTTAATATTGAATTGGTGGTTGCAAACACTAATTTGTGCCTTTTTGACTTGGGCTCTTCTTGAGAAAGAGAGTCCAAGTCTAGGAAATTCAGGCCAACAAGGAATTGTGGTGCATTCTATCTCGTTCAAGAGATTGATAGCCCCAATTAAAGGGTTAAACCTAGAGATAGTAATACCCGACTTGAGCTAATTTTGCTTGCACAAATTTGAACACCCAATTGGACTTGAGAAAGCCAATTAGGGCATAGTCACTCAAACTACCGAGAGGTATAGAGTGAGTAGTTTCATGCATTGGCTATATCACGATCCCAGCTATAACAAATTGCCCTAAGTTTTAGATCCCAATAGATACTCACCTAGGAGTAAGTCACTTCCCTAGTGCGTCTTTACCAATCAAGAAAACCATACAAAAAAATATCATACTTAGTCAAATTCCCTGCATCATTAGAATAAAATTTTGAATAGTAAAATATCAAAGCATGTTTGGAAGTGTAAACAATTACATCGCGCATTGCTAGTTTAGATAGGAACCCAATCCCAAACTTATTCTAGCTCCCTGTGGATTCGATCCCGACCTTCTCGTGTAAAAGCAGCATCGACCGCTCTTGCCACTCTATAGTGGTGTAGGGTTGGACCAGATCACTTTTTGGCGCCGTTGCCGGGGAGCTAAACGGTTTTGGCTATCTATCTATCTATCTAGTTTTGTGTTCTGTTTTTGTTTCATTCTAGTTTACTAACTTGGGTGAATCATCAATATAGGTACAAAAATGGCAAACAATGCTCCTCTTGGAGATATTCCACTGGGGGAGGAGGTTGATGATAATGGAGAGGAGGAGGTACCTCTAGTACCTCAAGGACAAAGGAGAGGCCGACAGGCCAATGACAATATTCCAGACCCTCCCCCGCCACCTCCAAGAGCTGTACCTCGGGTGCTTCCAAACTAGGGCTACGCTAGTGCAATTGTCCCACCCCGGAACCGGGCGAGCAATTTTTAAATTACCAACGTGATGTTGACTTTATTGGAGCAGCGAGGGTACTTCACAAGAGTTCCTTATCAGAATGCGTACAAACACCTTAAAGGCTTCGTTGATACCTGTTGGAGAAACAAGCAGACGAATGTGTCAGAGGATGCACTGCGGTTGAGATTATTCCCTTTCTCACTTCGAGGGAAAGCATTGGACTGAATGGAGAGACTTCCCAACCATACCATCCATACATGGAATGAGTTGGCGGACAAGTTTATAGAAAAGTTTTTCTCGCCGGGCACATGGCGAGTTTGAGGGATGAGATCTTGGCGTTCAAACAGGAGCCCAACGAACCACTTCATGAGATATGGGAGAGATACCGGACTATGGTTAAAGGATGTCCAAACAATGATATGACCGAGGCAATGATACAACAAACATTCTACCGTGGCATTAACACAACAAATCAGTGTATAGTGAACCAGCTCGCAGGGGGAAATTTCATGAACACACCGTATGATCAGGGTTGTGAGATATTGGATGAGATGGCGGACACTTCCTCAGCTTGGCAAAGTCGAGCTAATGTTCCACAGGTTGATCCCACGGTCATTCAGTTGCATAAAGAGCTCCACGACCATGGTCAAGCAATAGCGGAGCTAACAACAACAATGAACCAGTTAACAAAGGCACAATTACAGTAGGTTCAAGCACCACGTCAAGCAAATGCTATGGAGGGTGTCAACATGTTGGTCAACAAAAGGAGACAAAGAGGTCAACAAAGCCAAGGGAGTCCGGAACAATATGACCAAGATAGTGGTGGGTTCAACCAAGATGATGGGTATGATGAGCAGAATGAAGAAGTCCAGTACGTGAACAATTATCAAGGCCAAAGGGGAAATGCTTCTAACCAACAACAAAAATGGAGATCCCAAGGCAATTGGGGGAATCAACAACAACAAGGGAATAGAAACTGGGGGAACAACAACCAAAATCAGAATT